GTCATTGTTGTGGTTGAACCGGTTTTAGTTCTTGGTTTTGAAATCATCAATTTCAAGGCCATTGCTTTGAAATCATCAATTTCAAGGTCATTGTAGTTGAGCTACTCTCCGAATTCTCTTTAAAGGCTCTTGGACAGTTCTATGTCAGAACTACTATTCCTCTTGCTTCATATGACGTTATCTCGGGGAACTTTAGGCTAGCTAAACTTATAGGCAAGGTCATATACTTTAGAATACTCTATGGATTATGTGTTATTTTTACCTCGTTTATTCTTTCCAAAGCCGGGAAGTACTTGAAAAAAGAGTAGGATTTGCTCAAAGATGTGAAAGATCATCTTGAGGAACAAATATCAGACTTCTCCCTTCAGTTAAAGACGGAGACGTCGGGTTAAATTGAAAGTCAAGCTTGAAAGCATTGAAGAAAATATATCCAAGGCAAAGTTGTCAAAGATAGCACATGAGATGAAGTATAGGCACTTGATAAGAAAAGTTTAGTATTTGTGCTTGTTATACTGAGATTGCATTCCGGAGAGTGTTGAATGTGTATCGCTTCTTTTTTTTTGTTTCTATATTTTTGATCATTTTTTGCAATGGGATCAACACCATAGGTTTAGCAATTTGTTTATCGAACATTGTAAGTTGTAACCCACTTTTATTTCATAAATAATATTTGTGTTTGTTATACTGAGAACAAAAAACACAGTCACTCTATGATGTTCATGGTTTTTAGCATAATTTATTGTGTACTAGTTAGCCAGATAACAAAACATTAGAGAAAATTTAGGGAAATGACAAAAAGTTGGGATTCATTTGCAAAACAATAGGGGTTTAGTTTAGTTTTTTGTCACTCTCCCAATTTCCTTTTAATTATTTGCTATACAACCCAATTTCTCTTTTATTTTATTTTTGGATTGTTTCCCTTTTTCCTTGAGAAATGTTAATCTTCATTTTTCTTTGAAAAGCAATATTTGTTTTAATTTGGACAAACATGGTTTGGAGGATTCCATTTTTTAATTTAACTGTTTCACTAATTCGAAAAAGTCTTTTCATTCAACTATTAAGTTAGATCATAACTAATCTCTTAAAAAATAATTTATGGTTGTTAAAACGAAATTTTTTCAATCAAGTC